TGAATGCTGGCGGCCACTGAGAAGGTCTGCGCCAGTTTCGTCAGCTGTCACATGAGGCACTTAGTAGCTGCTGGCTCCAAAGATTGTGCAGCAGGGATGTTCGTGAAGACACGCATATGCAAAATGCTTGCCGCTTGAGAGACTTGCAGTCCTTCATGACTCGGCCCAAGTTGTTTGAAACCGCCCATGACAGGTCTGGGAGGGATGCAGAACACGGGCAAAGGCGGCAAAGGTGCATCTTGCCTGACGACTCGCAGAAGGCTGCAAGCATCCTGGATCGCAGGTGCAAAAGTGGATACTTGCCCCGCTGGTCAAGCGGCTGTTCCCAAGCTGGAGCTCCCTACCTGGCATGCAATATGTTCTTGAGCTTCCACAAGCTTTGCCTACCCAACTTCCAGGACCAGCACTCCCGCATGACGGCCAACGGATGTGGTCCGCAAGGCCTAGTGGTAAAGGCCCGCCAAACTCCACATTGTTTTGAAAGATTGTTGCATAGGTCGCTGCCTGGCATGTGCTGTCGCAGGAACCGCATGGGCTTTTCCGTTGCTGCAACAGTCACCTCTTCAGCAAAGAGTGCGTCGAGAGTTGTTTGTCGCAAGTTGCAGATGGTATTATTTTGGAGTCAGACCATTGTTCGTCCCAGAGCCAAATGTCCTAGCTCAGGCCACGATGTTTGCTTCTCTGTATGCGGAACTTCGCATGATTTCTGCGAGGAGAGAAGAAGTCAGATTGTCAAGCTTCCTTTTGTCATTGTGCGAGATTCAGGATCAATTCTCCAAGTGCATGAGCGAAGCCAGCAGCTGAGCAATGGCCATGCTTTGAAGTAAGTGTGGGAGGAGCATGGAGTAGTTTCAGGTGTGTAAGAGTCCGCTGTCCGGAGAGCACCAGGAGTGCAACCAGCAGGCTTGTAAAGGGAACTCTCCATCACGTCAGAACTTGGGAAAGGAGTCTTGTTTCTGTAGAGGCTCGGTCATTCTCGTCAATGACCAAGGCTTTTGGTGTAGGCGCGGGTGAAAAGCCATGATTACGATTGTCAGCCTTCAGAGCAACCTTGCAAGAAGCTTCTGTGCCACTGGTACAGTTCTAGTGATCAAAACAAACGTATGCACGTGAAACCCGTTCCAGGCTTCCACAAAGCTTCTCAGCAAGACTCCTGCCATTGCGTTCCCAGCGAGGAGGCACTAGGACCGTTCAAGCATTGCCCGCTGTCAGCTGACTACTCTACCAGCCGAGGCAGACCAAAAACATCGCTGGACACCAAGAAATTGACGTAACGAAGAATGCGCACGTATTGCTTCCTAGCGATTATGTCATGTCAACAGCTGGATAGCGGAACTTGCGCAAATTGCTCGAGGCGAGTATTTGGAGACTTTCTATAGACTGTACAACGAGACCATGCTCGACACTGAGACCCTAGAATCCCAGCTCTCTGACTGGAAGGGCAAGGAGGCTGGGGCTTCCCACACCCAACAGCCAGCGAAGCCAAAAGCCTTGCTGAAAGCACAGGCAGAGTTATACTTTGATCTCGAGACTTGGTTGCAAATTTGATGTGGGTATGCTTGGACCTACAAGTGTGAGCTGTGCAAGTGTTGTGCTAATAAGTATCATTCAGGCCAGTAGCCAAGCATCTGGAAGCTTCCAACCTCGGACCTCCACGGTAATCTGCTGCGGTAATGCGTCGAGAAAGGTGGTAGAAAAGGCTTGCATCTACCTCCTACAGCGAGACGGAACATGGAACACAGCCTTGTTGCACATGGCATAGGAGGGGATCCTCCAGCCAAAGGTTACAGCAAACTATCGACTCTGAACCTTACTTTCTGGCCCTGGCAGGTGAGGCAGTATGGCCACCTGTTTGTGCAGTTTGACGCCCTTGGGCCTGAAATTGGGATCGTCAGACATTTCCAATTCACTTCAACGTCGTTGAGTCGTGCCAACATAAATTCCTAAGGATGTGCCCAAGGAGTTCGTGCACAGTCCCAAGGCGGGCTACAATTCACAGCAAGGCATTGGTACAGATTGATAGCCTGTTCTGCTGCAAGGCAAGTCGAACTGACCTTTGAGCTGCCAGACGCAGTGCTTCCAGTGATAGAACGGCTTAGTCTCAACTAGCAATGCGACTCCTGTACAACGCGCATCTGCTTTTTTGTCAGTAAATCAGTACAATTACGATGGCGAACGCCGCCTTTTGTGCCCATATTAGCTAGCAACGATGGTGCGCAACACAGAGACGGATTTCTGATGGCCACATGCATTTCCCGCTGCCGGCCAGTTTTCCCCAGCTGCAAAGCATCTGATCTCTCGTGCGGTGGTGAGATGAAGAAGGGGCTGCAAACTCTCCTATGGATGGATTGCAGTTTGTCCCTTCTTAATTAGCAGGCTTTCCGCTTAAGCAAAGACCAGACATCTGCTACATCAGCAGCAAAACGCCCGCTTTCTGAAGCAGGTTTCGGAACCAATCGTCAGATCGTGTGAGAGTGTGATAACTTTGGTCAGCTTGCTCCAAGCCGTGGAAACCTGAGACTGCGTGCAGGCAGCTGGCATTTTCAGAGGATCCCCCAAGTTCTTGAACAGCAACCAGGCTCGGAAATGCACTGGTCGGGGGGAGGTAGGGATGCTGCCCATGTTCTAAGGGCTGGACTCTGCAACTCGAGACAAGATGCCAAGTAAACAACGTTTTCACGTGCAGTAGTGACCTAGCCTGCGCGGTGTGTGTTTTGCACTCGACTCCTCGAAAGCTGGCAAGGTCCTGCTATATAGAGGCAGTGACGAAGATCAAGATGGTCCGTGCTGGCAACTTGACATGCACGGATTCAACATGCTGCTTGTACACTCCGAACAAAGCATGTGCCGGGGGGAATGCGTGTGAAAGTCTCGCGCACTGCGTTGAGACATTTTTGCGGCATCAAAGATCACATCAAAGACCAATGGGAAATGTTATTTCCTTTTTAACTGCGTTGCTCATTGTGATGGTCATTCTCAGCATTTGCTGACTATATGCATGATTACACGATGCATTGACTAGTAGATGATTAAAGCGCAGGAGGTTCTTGCAACTCTAGGACAAGATCCTACGCAATCCTAGCAGAAGTCTTGGCTGCTAGTGAGAGGGAACCTCTGCCTGAAACTGGGTGTGTCTTCAGAATCCATTGTTCTGAATCACTGCTGACATGACAGAGTAATCTCCTTGCGACTTTGAGATGGAGTTTGTTACAAAACTCCGGCGGGAAATGGAGCAGTACAATGAATGACTACTGTGACCAGCAGAGTATGTGGTAGAAGCATGGAAGTGTAGTCATGGGGCATTTGGAGCATCAGTCAGCAGCATAGTTGTAATGAATCACGCTCAGAGATGAGATGAAGACGTGCTATGCCTAGTCAGCTTGAAATGCAGGACAACGTCGGTCACAAGTTCCGTAAAATACTTGTTAAACAGGTTCCAGAGTTGTCAAAGCCGTAGTTGACCATGTTGTGTCGTACAGCATTTACAGCCTTTGAAGCGTTCAATGCTGTGTTTGAGGTATGTTGAGCTTCTGAGAAAGTCCAAAAGGTGCACTATGCAGGTTGCAACACGACATGCTGAATATGCCGAATGGAGCTGATTAATTGCGTACCTGGCAACCACGCACTCTGGCCGGCCTGTGCTGTAAAAAGCGGTGTTGCCGCCGCGATGCCCTCGAAATACTGCTATGCACTAGGTCACTAGCTGGAAACACGCGCCCGCGCCCCCATGGCTTTCCAGTCCTTTCTGCTGGGAATGATCGGTTGTACATCTGTTGCCTTCGTCCCTTACCCATGTGAGCCATAGTTTAAACCCCTACAGTAGTGTCCCTCTTGATGAGCCCTATAGTAGTCCCCTATATAATCCCTTATATCATCCCCTTTAAGGAGGTTAGACCCTAAACCCTATTCACAACCCTAAACCCTAAAATATTCAATATATATATATATAATACAAGTATATATATATATAACCCCCTTTGAGGAGTTTAGACTACAGCTCAAAAGTGCAATCGTGTTGGCTTCTTCAAGGAAGCTATCTTGGAAAGAAGATGGGGATGATGACGAGGACAGCGACGAGGCCAGTTTGGGTCCTGAGGGTTTACGTAGCGGTGTAGCGATGAGGCTAGCTTGGGTCCTTTGCAAGCACACCTAAAGGCACTCCAAGCATTTGCCACTGTCTTGTAATAACAGCAATAGTAATAGTGGTATAATACTAATCATAATAGTGGCATACAGTGGCAAATGGGGATTTCCTAAAATTAGGGATCCTTTTTTGGGGCTCCGCATTGTAAGACAGAGTATATAGGTGGTATATATTGGGGTTCAAAGCAATTCCCACTGTCTTGTTGGTTCCGGCTTGTTCATGAAGTCTTTGCATTGCGCATCAGTGAGAACCTTCACATGCCAAACGAGCCTGCGATTCAAACGCGGTGCTGGCAGGCGAACGACCGCATGTTGTCCGAATCTGAGAAGTTCGGGTGTCAAGTTCAATCGACAGTCAGATGACAGCAGCTTTTGAGCTCTGCAGCGCTAAAGATAGGCCTCTGAATGCAAGAACCGCTCGCTGCTCTGTTTTCCAGGAGGAGCGGTCTTCGGGCAAACCATGAACAAAGCATTAATCATTTAGGAAGCACAAAGTGGTAGTAGCGAGCATCGGAATAAGCATGGTGCCCAGCTTGGTTGAGCTGACTGTTCAGAAGAATGTCTCAACTACAGACCACGCAGCAAAGCCGACCTGCGCACCGCTTCACGTCCGGCCAAGCACGGAGCAGTATGTGGTTGAATAAGCCGCCGGGCGATATGACTGTAGTGAGCTGTTGGCCATTTGTTCGGTGAGGGCGCTTGGCAACGTGGCCAAGACTCTATGCCACACAGCAAGCATCATCCTTTTCAAC